TGGCGCCGGAGCGTATTCACGGTGTCCCGGTGTAGCGAAGGCGGCACGCTTAGGCAACTTCCAAACCTGGCACCGGAGCGTATGCACGGTGTCCCGGTGTATCGGAGGCGGCAGTCAGCAAACAAACTCCCAAACCTGGCACCGACGCGTATGCACGGTGTCCCGGTGTAGTGGAGGCGACAGACCGCAGCCAACCTCTAATCCCGGCCCGCCGGCGCGTATGCACGGAGGTTCTCGGGAGTAGGGGGGCGAAAGATCACTGCCAATCGTCTGACCAGTCGTAGTCGACTCAAGGGGGTGTTTCTCAAGGCAAAAGGGGGGAGGGTAGCGGAATCGCTAGCACCGCGGCAACAGGAGTACCATCGGCGACGGAGTAGCGGCGGCTTATCTCAGAGGACACCGACGACGGAGCCAGCAGAAACGGAAGGAGCAACGAGGAATTAAAATAAAGAGTGTGGAAACTGCAAGCTATTTGTATTACCTTCTGGGCTGGGGCAATCACGTCGAATCTATAAATTCGGTGAAACGGATCCGCGAAACTCTGTGAGCTAGCCGCGGCAAATTGTGGCGAGCGGAAGCAGAAAAGACAGTTCGTTACACCTGGCGCCCAAACTTGTTGATTGCATTTAGCCTAGAAAATAACATAGCAGAAAGATGGGAAAAAAGAATTGGATCTACACATTGAGAAAGGAGGAGCTAAGCGAAGTGTGTAGAGAGCTCGGTCTACCAGCAGACGGGACTGTGGAAACGATGAGATCCTCAGTGGCGAGGTGGGTCGACGAATCCAAGGAAGAGGAAGTACTGGCGTTAACGCACGGCCTAGAGGAAAGGCTTGGACAAAGATCAAACCCCAGGCAGAGAGCAGCCAGCCAAACCGAGAAGTTTATAGAGAGCCTGGCGGTACCAGATCCAAGAATTGGAAGGAGCATAGAGCCGCAATCAAGAAAGTATGTTCCGGCCCCGGTGGATTACGCCAAAGTGGCCAGACAGGTGCGAGACTGGTCGTTTCGTTTCGATGGCACAGGGGACCCGTTAAAGTTCCTTGACCGAGTGACGTGGTTCGCAAAGACATATGGATTGGACATAAACACGATCCCCAGAGCCATGCCAGAACTACTGCAGGGCAGGGCCCAAAGATGGTTCATCATGAGTGATTGAGAGTGATTGTGTCAATTAAATTTTGCAGATCAAATGTTAATAATCGTAAGCGATGTTTTCGAAGTGGTAGATCTTGATCAATAGATACATTTTTAAAATCATCGGAAAGGGATTATATTTCTTTAAATAATCAGGAATTGATAATAGACTGCTTATTATTGTTTTCTATTAATTCATTAATTTTATTCTGAATTGTAATATCATCATGGTTCCATCTAACCATTTCCACACGGTGCCTAATTCATTTATCCCCCTTTTTGATCTAGTTAATATTGATTGTGATAAAATTAGTTCTATTACTTCTATGTCATTTTTAATTTCCCATTGTGACCTTTTATTAGTATCCCTTTTAATATTATCTGATTCCAAATTTATTATTTCTTTATAAAAGCTTAAGTTAGTTACGTGGAAAATATCTGCGTATGAATCGTACGTCAATACGTCTTTATTGTCATTAAATAGAAGATACTCTTGACTTTTATAGTCAATTATTTCTGATTTTGTTAATAAAATAAGGTGTAGTATGAGCACCTGATAAAACATTTTCTGGGAAAGGAAAGAAAAAAAGGATGATATAAGTTAACACGCGCAGACAGAACTTAGGAAAAGTGCCAAATTGCACACCGGATCCGGTGGCCGGCACGCGTAACAAAAGAGGTGCTGACTACGCATTCCAAGGGCAACTGTCCGCGGACCGGCTTGGGCACTTGCGCAACAAGTGATCGTTGCTGGCCGGATACGGAATGCTGACACTGCAATTGGGCAACTGCGCCGCAGCCCAACGAAGGCTTCGAAGTACAGCCCGGGTAGTACTTTAATTTAGTCTTAAATAGAACCCCGCAGCCTTAGCTCGCGTTATATTTTATTCTATTGTGAGGTGATTAAGTCTCCCCACACGCTAAGACAGATAGCCGGGGGCAAAGGGGGGTGGGGGGCCGAGGAGGCGGAAAAAGGGGGTCAACCACCGGTCATCAACCCGGGCAGCCCAAGGGAATGTCGCCAGGATCAGTATGGGGGGTTGTGGGAAGGTGAAAGCCAGTTACCGTGGGTTCCTGTGAAGGGCTACCCGTGGGAGGACGGAATCCACGTGGAACGTAACGGTGGGCGGTGAAAGGGTAAACGCCGCCACCCGGGGGAAGAAGGAATCGACGAGGAACATAACGTAACATAAAAAGTAGTCCAGTGGGGGAATCAGCACAATGCGCAGGCGTACCTTAGAAAGTGTGGCGGGGTGAGCAGCAAAGGAGCGGCAAGGAGCAAGGGGGGGTTGCGACGCAGAGTGCAGCGGGCCCTGGAAGCCCACCCGAACACGGCAGGTAGCCTTGCAAGGAAGTGAAGAAAGGAGAAGTCTGGCGTACGCCTTACCGATTCCTGAAATCGCATCCAACAGGCGTGGTCCTGCGAAACATGGATCGGCCGACTCGGGAACTCGCGCCCAAGTCACAGACCGCGTGAGAACACCCTGGTCACCAGCCCCGCCACTACAAACTCGGGTTCGCCGGCGCGTATGCACGGTGTCCCGGTGTAGCGGGAGCGCCACATACGGTCAGTCACATGGCAACTTCCAAACCTGGCACCGGAGTGTATGCACGGTGTCCCGGTGTAGCAAAGGCATCACACAGCAACTTCCAAGCCTGGCGCCGGAGCGTATTCACGGTGTCCCGGTGTAGCGAAGGCGGCACGCTTAGGCAACTTCCAAACCTGGCACCGGAGCGTATGCACGGTGTCCCGGTGTATCGGAGGCGGCAGTCAGCAAACAAACTCCCAAACCTGGCACCGACGCGTATGCACGGTGTCCCGGTGTAGTGGAGGCGACAGACCGCAGCCAACCTCTAATCCCGGCCCGCCGGCGCGTATGCACGGAGGTTCTCGGGAGTAGGGGGGCGAAAGATCACTGCCAATCGTCTGACCAGTCGTAGTCGACTCAAGGGGGTGTTTCTCAAGGCAAAAGGGGGGAGGGTAGCGGAATCGCTAGCACCGCGGCAACAGGAGTACCATCGGCGACGGAGTAGCGGCGGCTTATCTCAGAGGACACCGACGACGGAGCCAGCAGAAACGGAAGGAGCAACGAGGAATTAAAATAAAGAGTGTGGAAACTGCAAGCTATTTGTATTACCTTCTGGGCTGGGGCAATCACGTCGAATCTATAAATTCGGTGGAACGGATCCGCGAAACTCTGTGAGCTAGCCGCGGCAAATTGTGGCGAGCGGAAGCAGAAAAGACAGTTCGTTACACCTGGCGCCCAAACTTGTTGATTGCATTTAGCCTAGAAAATAACATAGCAGAAAGATGGGAAAAAAGAATTGGATCTACACATTGAGAAAGGAGGAGCTAAGCGAAGTGTGTAGAGAGCTCGGTCTACCAGCAGACGGGACTGTGGAAACGATGAGATCCTCAGTGGCGAGGTGGGTCGACGAATCCAAGGAAGAGGAAGTACTGGCGTTAACGCACGGCCTAGAGGAAAGGCTTGGACAAAGATCAAACCCCAGGCAGAGAGCAGCCAGCCAAACCGAGAAGTTTATAGAGAGCCTGGCGGTACCAGATCCAAGAATTGGAAGGAGCATAGAGCCGCAATCAAGAAAGTATGTTCCGGCCCCGGTGGATTACGCCAAAGTGGCCAGACAGGTGCGAGACTGGTCGTTTCGTTTCGATGGCACAGGGGACCCGTTAAAGTTCCTTGACCGAGTGACGTGGTTCGCAAAGACATATGGATTGGACATAAACACGATCCCCAGAGCCATGCCAGAACTACTGCAGGGCAGGGCCCAAAGATGGTTCATCATGAATGACGAAGAATGGCCAACATGGGCGAGGTTCAAGGCAAGCTTCGAGAATTTTTTCCTGCCGAAAGGATACTTAGAAAAGTTGGCGGACCAAGTTCGCCAACGGAAGCAGCGTCGCGGAGAGCCCTTCAAAGAGTACATGGTGGACCTTCAGTCACTAATGAAACCATTAGGGAAAACCACGAAAGAAGTAATCGAGAGGCTCGTCGAAAACTGCATGCCAAGGATGAAGATGTTCATAAGACCACACGCCTGCGCGTCCTTAGAGGAGGTAATGGGCCTAGCAGTGGAGTTTGAGGAATTAGCGCAGGAGGAAGAGGCCTTTAACAGGCAAGTCGCCACGGAACAAAGGTGGAGCCACAGTCAGCCGGCCGTAAACGAGAGGTGGCAGAGAGAAGAACCGCAGCATAGTGAAGCGGCAAGGTACCAGAGGGACCAATGCACCCAGAAAGGGCAACGGGACGAGTTCCACCACCGGGTCGTCCAAAACACACAATGGGAACCAAGGTGGCAAAGAGAGGAACCGCGCCAAGGCCCACCGGAGCGGCAGAACATCACGAACCAAAATTGGATGCCGAGATGACAGCCTGAGAACCAACAGCCTAATCAGCAGTGGACATCAGGGCCAAGGCAGGGTCCGGTCGAGAACCCAGCACAAGCATGCAACAGATGCGGTGGCATGGGCCATTGGGCCAGCGGATGCAGGAACCCAAGGTTGTTGTTCTGCAAAATGTGCGGCGCGACAGGAGTTAGAAGCTCAGTATGTTGCCAGAGGTCGGGAAATGCGCAGCGGTCCCAGCAACAGGGAGGAGAGCAGAGATCGCACGGTGCTGCCTCTGAAAACTAAAAGGAGGACTAGACGGAGAAGAGCAGCAGTTGACGGCAACCATCGAGGTCGAGGGCACGGAGGTGAAAGCCATGCTGGATACAGGAGCGCCGGTGAGTTTTATATCAGAGGATCTAGCAGAGAGCCAGGAAATAGCCGGGAATCGAGTCGCGATAAAGAGGCGGGTGAAGTTACCCAATGGAAGCCATACAGAAACACGCGCCGCATTACAGGCTCGAATAAGCTTCGGCAACAGGACAAAGACCCTGAACCTGCTGGTGATGCCAGGCATGGAGGACAGTCTGGTGCTGGGATGAGATTTCCTCAGCGAGTTTGGCGCAACGGTGACATGCGCTGGCCACCGCGTTACGATACCCAACAGGGAGAGATGGGGCGGCTGTTTGGAGGGTAGACTGTCCGTAGCAGTGTCCGGATGTCCAGAGGTATGGGAAGACGAACGCAATAAGAGATTTATCGAGAGAGAGCTAGAAGCGTTCGCCGGCCAAAGAGGGTGCTCGAACATAACGCAGCACAGGATCACCATGAAGGACGACATTCGCATAAAACAGCGATATTACCCCAAAAACCCGAAAATACAGGGGGAAATAAACGCAAAAGTAGAGGAGCTGTTGGAAAAGGGATGCATTAAGCCCTCGAATAGCGCATACAGCTCACCCATTTTAATGGTAAAGAAAAAGACGGGTCAATGGAGAATGTGCGTGGACTTCCGGCAAATCAACGCAAAATCAGTAAAAGATGCGTACCCAATGTCACGAATAAATTTCATATTGGAGCAACTGAGGGAGGCCAGATTCTTCAGCAGCCTCGACTTGAAGGACGGATATTGGCAGAACCCTCTGGAGGAAGGAAGCAGATAGTACCCCGCCTTCACCGTTATAGGAAAGGGTCTGTACCAATGGAAGGTGATGCCGTTTGGGTTGCACTCGGCCTCGGCAACATTTCAAAGGGCCCTTGACCAGGTCATAGGGCCGGACATGGCTCCACATGCCTTTGCATATCAGGACGACATCATCGTGATCGGACGCACCAAGGAAGAACACATGGCCTAAGAAAGGTGTTCAGAAGGTTGAAAGCAGCAAACCTGCGGATAAACACGGAAAAATGTCATTTTTTCAGGCAGGAACTGCTATACTTGGGACATAGAATAATGAGCCAAGGGATTGGCATGGATCCGGGGAAGGTCGCTGCCATTACAGAGCTGTAACCCCCGACAAACGTCACGGAAGTACGCCAGTTCATAGGGATGGCGTCATGGTATCGGCCGGACTACGTCGAAGAGGGCGGCTTGATGTACCGCCACGTTCCGCATAGAGCAGGAAGCGAGGAAGTGGCGTCATGGAAGTTGTGCGTGCCCACGGAGTCGAGGCAGCAGGTCCTCAAAGAGAACCATGACGCACCGCGGCAGGACACCTAGGCCGCCAGGTACTTCTGGCCAGGGATGCAAAGGGACATCCGTAAGTACGTAATTGTAATTGTCATCATACGGCACGGAAGGACCAACAAAGAGAAGAGGGCACACGTGAGTGAGCTGAAGTGCCAAGACATGGGATCACCGGCGAAAGAAGAATAGACCAGCAACACTAAACCCGCACAAGTGTACAAGAGGACTGCACAGTGGAAAACGGGACATGTCCAGTAACGGGAGCCATAGCAGGTCTAGTGACGGGAACCGTAACGGGACATGTCCAGTAACGGGAACTAGATGTGCTAGAAGGCGGCGGCTGGGAGAAGCACGGTCTATTCAAAAATTCTAATCAGCGGAGCAACATGTCCCACGAATCGGAAGCGACAATGATCGTCTCGTCAGACGAGAGCGACCTGGAGGTGGTCGGCGATCCGTCCTGGAACGGGAGAAGGATGAGGACGGAGTGGGCGATACAACGGGCAGCAGGAGGACGGAGGCGCATACCCGTCGGTCGCGCCACGGTGGAGGAGCGGAGCGAAGTGCTGGAGCTCCGAAGTAGATCCGAAAGGTGCCGCCAGCGACAGGAGGCGATGGTCACCATCTCGGACATGGCCAGGAAGAGGGCCCAACGAGCACAGGAGATGTGCGAGGAGAACGCCCGGGAGTGGAAGGAAATTATGAGAGATGGACGGGAGAGAGCCATGAGGAGGGCGATGGCAAAGAGGATGGGGCTGCGATGGGCAAGGCGGCTGGTGGATGTCGCAAAGAGGAAGGAAGCCGCAAAGAGGACCCGGCCAGCAACGCGGTGGCCCGCGGTGCCACCAACACCACGCCCACGATCGGAACGCCCGGAGGAAAAGGAAGTGGCAACGGCCTCCAGTAAGAGGCAGCAGGAGGCGACGTGGCCTGCGGCACCACCTACGCCACGAAGGGGCCGTGGGTGTGGCCAACACCGAGGAGGCCGGCGCTGGGCCGGCAGTACTCGTGCCCGGAGAAGCGGCCGATGAAGCCGGTGTTAATGCGGTTTATGTCGGATGGAGGCGTCATGGAGGTCCTAGAGTCAGAATGGCCGTCGGAGCTCTGCGTGAGGGTGGCGGCGGAGGTAGAGAGGCGGCGCGGACGAACCGGACGGTGGTGTGTGATGGCTCAGGTAGGAGCCACATGCTTCCAGGTACGAGGAGGTGCCAACGGCGTGAAGGTAATAAGGAAAGTTTAGAGAAAGAAATATGAATCAAGAAGAAAAAAAAACTTATAAATAAAAAAACAAAAACAACATCAAGTTTAGAAAACATCCAAGTACAAATGAGGGGGGTATAAAACAAAAAAAAAAGCAGGGGAAAAAAGAAAAAGAGGAAAAAATTTTAACTGAAATAAAAAAAAATATATATACATATATATACACAAAAAAAAAATAAATAAAAATAAAAAAAAATAAAAAAAAAGAAAAAAGAAAAGATCAATTAAAAAAAAAACACAAAAAAAAAAAAACATAGCATGGGGTACATAGGCTAGGTGCTCTAAGAGCGAGTGCCCTCAAACTCGGCTGCGGGATCGGCCGCGCACTCCAGGTCTTGGCAGGGAGATCGGGCAGGCATATCATTTTTTGGCGGGTTATCAGCTGCCAGCGGAATCGGCTAGGCACTCCACGCGTCGGCAGGGGGATCGGCCGGGCACTCTAGGTCTTGGCAGGGAGATCGGCCAGGCACTTCACGTATTGGCGGGTTATCAACTGGCAGGGGATATTATTTATTTACGGGTTATCAGCTGCCAGGGGAATCGGCTAGGCACTCCACGCGTCGGCAGGGGAATCGGCCGGGCACTCCAGCTCTTGGCAGGGAGATCAGCCAGGCGCTTCACGTATTGGCGGGTTATCAGCTGGCAGGGGATCGGCCAGGCACTCCACGCATCGGCAGATGATCGGCTGGGCACTCCAGGCCTTGTCAGGGAGATCGGCCAGTTACTTCACATATGGCGGGTTATCTGCTGGCAGGGGATCACCTAGATATCCATGCGTCGGCAGGGGAATCGCCGGGCACTCCAGGCATTGGCAGGGAGATCGGCCAGACACTTCACGTATTGGCGGGTTATCAACTGGCAGGGGATCGATGAGGCTCTTCATGTCTTGCCAACGGTATCACCTTGCAGGGAATACGGCTTGGCACTCCCACCTCGGCTGCGGGATCGGCCGGGCACTCCAAGTCTTGGCAGGGAGATCAGCCAGGCGTATCATTTATTGGTGGGTTATAAGCTGCCATAGGAATTGGCTAGGCAGTTCACGCGTCGGCAGGGGAATCGGCTGGGCACTCCAGGCCTTGGCAGGAAGATCGGCCAGACACTTCACGTATTGGAGGGTTATCAGCTGGCAGGGGATCAGCTTGGTATCCATGCGTCGGCAGGGGAATCGGCTGGGCGCTCAAGGCCTTGGCAGGGAGATCGTCCAGGAACTTCACGTATTGGCGGGTTATCAGCTGGCAGGGGATCGGCCAGGCACTCCACGCATCGGCAGGGGATCGGCTGGGCACTCCAGGCCTTGTCAGAGAGATCGGCCAGTCACGTCACGTATTGGCGGGTTATCTGCTGGCAGGGGATCACCTAGATATCCATGCGTCGGCAGGGGAATCGGCTGGGCACTCCAGGCCTTGGCAGGGAGATCGGCCAGTCACTTCACGTATTGGCGGGTTATCAACTGGCAGGGGATCGATCAGGCTCTTCATGTCTTGCCAACGGTATCAGCTTGCAGGGCATACGGCTTGGCACTCCCACTTCGGCTGCGGGATCGGCCGGGCACTCCAGCTCTTGGCAGGGAGATCGGCCAGGCGCTTCACGTATTGGCGGGTTATCAGCTGGCAGGGGAATCGCCGGGCACTCCAGGCATTGGCAGGGAAATCGGCCAAGCACTTCACGTATTGGCGGGCTTTCAACTGGCAGGGGATCGGCCAGGCACTCCCCGCGTCGGCAGGGGAAACGGCTTGGCACTCCACTTCTCGGCAGGGGGATCTTCCTGGCACTCCAGGTCTTGGCAGGGAGATGGGCCAAGCACTTCACGTATTGGCGGGTTAGAACTGGCAGGGGATCGATCAGGCTCTTCACGTCTTGCCAACGGTATCACCTTGCATGGAATACGGCTTGGCACTCCCACCTCGGCTGCAGAATCGGCCGGGCACTCCAGGTCTTGTCTGCGAGATCGGGCAGGCATTTTATTTATTGGCCGGTTTATCTTTTGCCAGGGGAATCGGCTAGGCACTCCACGCGTCGGCAGGGGAATCGGCTGGGCACTCCAGGCCTTGGCAGGGAGATCGTCCAGACACTTCACGTATTGGCGGGTTATCAGCTGGCAGGGGATCAGCTTGGTATCCATGCGTCGGCAGGGGAATCGGCTGGGCGCTCAAGGCCTTGGCAGGGAGATGTTCCAGGAACTTCACGTATTGGCGGGTTATTAGCTGGCAGGGGATCAGCTAGGTATCCACGCGTCGGCAGGGGAATCGGGTGGGCACTCCAGGCCTTGGCAGGGAGATCGGCCAGTCACTTCACGTATTGGCGGGTTATCAGCTGGCAGGGGATCAGCTTGGTATCCATGCGTCGGCAGGGGAATCGGCTGGGCACTCCAGGCCTTGGCAGGGAGATCGTCCAGGAACTTCACGTATTGGCGGGTTATCAGCTAGCAGGGGATCAGCTAGGTATCCACGCGTCGGCAGGGGAATCGGCTGGGCACTCCAGGCCTTCGTAGGGTATCGGCCAGGCACTTCGCGTATTGGCGGGTTATCAACTGGCAGGGAATCGATCAGGCTCTGGCAGGGAGATCAGCCAGATGTATCATTTATTGGTGGGTTATAATCTGCCATAGAAATCGGCTAGGCACATCACGCGTCGGCAGGGGAATCGGCTGGGCAC